GTCCACCCCGTAGTGGCCGATACTGGTGAGGGGACCAGCCCTCCTGCCAGCACATTTGAGAGTGCTATCTCCACGAATGCAGCCACCGTTGTGTGTATCATGACCTGAAATTCCATAGGGTTAGCCCGGGAATATTCCATAGTGGCAAATTGTATGACACAGAATTAGGGCTCACCCAAAAAAGTAGATAGGTAGATTTATCATGATATGAGATACCCCTGTAAAAGGCACAAATTAGTAGGCAATTTCAGGATGCAGGGCAAACAGACCAGACTACCATAGTAGCGGGCAATGCTCACAGAAACTCCTGCAGGGTTGTAATCTTAACAGTGGCCAAATAAAATAGACTGGGGCTCACCCAGTAAACAGAGGCTACAACAGCATGCCTCCACTCAACAGCACACATATAGTGGGGGGCTCAGCCCAGATGCACAGAGTATGAACCCGTAAGTGCTGGCCATGACCCTGACAGAGAGCACTAATCTGTGCTCAAACAGTTAATTCAAGGTTATGGGAGATAGTCCTTTAAGCAGTATGTCATGGAAATCCTGTCCAGCAGTTAACAGAGACTGTAGCAGCATGTCTCCATACAGTATCACAGTGTAGTATAAATATAGTACTGGGGCTCACCCCTTGAGTGCAGGCCACAGCCCTGACAGAGAGCACTAATCCAGGCTCTAATAGTTAATCCAAGGTTATGGGTGAAATCCTATAAACAGCTTATATAAATGGCCTAATTTAACATAAACATGCAACCCAAGTAAGCCCCAGAGAAGTGAGAGCAAGGAGGGGAGAGGACAGAAACCAAGTAAGGTAAAAACACAATAAATAACATAGAAAAAACACAGCTGCACATAGTACAGAAGCACAGCAAGAACAAACAGCAAAGTATATCAAAAAATATAATACAGAAACAACCTCAAAGGAGGCAATAGAAACATAAAGTAATGGAGGAGAGTAATACTCTGACCTGTCTGCTTGATGGAGCAGCAAAGAAAGAGGAGGTGCTTAGGTCATTATACCTGATGTACATCCGAATCTCTTGTGATTGGTTCTTTTTTCTATGTGTTTCTTTGCTGCTGTGGAGCTTGTAAAGAGAGATTAGGCTAAATATGAAGCCTCCTGTCATGTTTTAAAATACCATGTATAGGCGCATTCACGTGGGTATTAAAAGAGTAATTTAGAAGAATGCTCACTTGGGTACTTCTTCCACAGTTTCACACAAACTGCACAAATACCCTTTTTTTTTATAAACATAATTTATATTTGTAATAATTTTATGAACCAAAATCCATAGCTATTATTTAGTTACACTGAAATGATGCTTTCATTTGGTGATCTTCCTGCTTGGGCAAATAACTGCAGGCAGAATGTTTCACATCTCCCCTCGTTACTTGTGAATAAAGCTGGTTATACTGCACCCCATTATAACTAATCTCTTAGCTGTACATGCATTCAAGATCAGAGACAACATGGGTTTACTTCAGGGAGATTATGCCAAACTAATCTTATTGATTTTTTTGATTGGGTAACTAAAATTATAGATCGGGGTGTTGCAGTAGACATTGCTTACCTAGATTTCAGTAAGGCTTTTGACACTGTTGCACATAGAAGGCTTATCAATAAACTGCAATCTTTAAGTTTGGATTCCAATATTGTTGAATGGGTAAGGCAGTGGCTGAGTGACAGGCAACAGAGGGTTGTAGTTAATGGAATATATTCGAAGCTTGGACTTTTCACCAGTGGGGTAAGTCAGGGATCTGTACTTGGACCCATTCTCTTTAATATTTTTATTAGTGATATTACAGCAGGTCTTGATGCTAAGGTATGTCTTTTTGCTGATGATACCAAGATATGTAACAGGGTTGATGTTCCAGGAGGGATAAGCCAAATGGCTAATGATTTAGGTCAACTAGAAACATGGTCAGAGTTGTGGCAACTGACATTTAATGTGGATAAGTGCGAGATAATGCATCTTGGACGTAAAAACCCAAGGGCAGAGTACGGAATATTTGATAGAGTCCTAACCTCAACATCTGAGGAAAGGGATTTAGGGGTGATTATTTCTGATGACTTAAAGGTAGGCAGACAATGTAATAGAGCAGCAGGAAATGCTAGCAGAATGCTTGGTTGTTTTGGGAGAGGTATTAGCAGTAGAAAGAGGGAAGTGCTCATGCCATTGTACAGAACACCGGTGAGACCTCACTTGGAGTATTGTACTCAGGGGCTTTTAGCCGCGAGGCAAACAAGGCATTTGCCTTGGGCGGCATTTTCCAGGGGGCGGCAAAAAAAGCCGCCCCCCAAATGCCCAGGGCAAATGCCTTGTTAGCCTTGCGGCTAACAGACATGCCGAGCGGGCATGCGGCGCTGGGCGGGCGGCTGGAGAGGGAGCTCTTCCTCTGAGCAGTCTGCTCAGCTCCCTCGCGCGCCGCAGAGTGAGGCAGGGTGCCGGAATATGACGTCATCTTCCAGCTCCCAGCCTCACTCTGCGGCGCGCGAGGGATCTGAGCAGACCGCTCAGAGGAAGAGCTCCCTCGCCAGCCGCCCGCCCAGCGCCCAGCAGCCACTGGACCCCAAGGGAGATAGGGAACCCCCCCTCCCCTCCAGCCTCCTTACCTTTGGGGGTTAAAAAATAAATAAATGTGTTAGTGTGTGTCTGTTAGTGTGTCTGTAAGTGTGTGTGTCTGTTAGTGTGTCTGTTAGTCTGTGTGTTAGTGTGTGTGTCTGTTAGTGTGTGTGTGAGTGTGTCTGTTAGTGTGTGTGTTAGTGTGTGTGTGTCTGTTAGTGTGTGTGAGTGTGTCTGTTAGTGTGTGCATGTGTGTGAGTGTGTCTGTGAGTGTGTCTGTTAGTGTGTGTGTGTGTGTGTGTCTGTTAGTGTGTGTGAGTGTGTCTGTTAGTGTGTGTGTGTCTGTGAGTGAGTGTGTCTGTTAGTGTGTGTGAATGTGTCTGTTAGTGAGTGTGTCTGTTAGTGTGTGTGTCTGTTAGTGAGTGTGTGTCTGTTAGTGAGTGTGTCTGTCTGTTAGTGAGTGTGTGTGTGTCTGACTGTTAGTGTGTGTGTGTCTGACTGTTAGTGTGTTTGCCTGTGAGTGTGTGTGTCAGTGAGTGTTTGTGTCTGCTAGTGAGTGTCTGCTAGTGAGTGTGTGTGTCTGCTAGTGAGTGAGTGTGTCTGCTAGTGAGTGAGTGTGTTTGTGTGTGTGTGTGTCTGACTGTGTGTATGTTTGCCTGTGAGTGTGTGTGTTAGTGAGTGTGTGTGTGTCTGCTAGTGAGTGAGTTTGTTTTTCTGTTAGCTAGTGTATGCGTATCTTTCAGTGAGTGAGTGTGTGTGTGTATTTAGAAGGCGGGGCAGGGGGAAGGGATGGGTGGGGGTCGCGCGCGCGTGGAAGGGTTGGGGGGGGGCTTGGGGGCGCCTGAGTTTTGTCCTGCCTAGGGCAGCACAAAACCAGGATACACCACTGATTGTACGCAGTACTGGAGACCGTATCTTCAGAAGGATATTGATACTTTAAAGAGAGTTCAGAGAAGGGCTACTAAACTGGTTCATGGATTGCAGGATAAAACTTGCAAGGAAAGGTTAAAGGATCTTAACATGCAGGACCGGGGATACAAAGCAGCCCTGGAAAAAAAATGTTATGCCAGCCCCATAAGTCACTGCGCCATATATTGTTGCATGTAATATGTAAGGCTATGTCTTGCCACCCCAGATGATTGAGTAATATATTTATTGCCTTTTCTAATATAAAATATTGGTCCTTTCAGAGTAAAACGTTTAATTATACAGTAAGCATACTCACATGCAGACACAGGCTCATTGATACACGGCCTCATAGACAAACAATCTCACTGATATTTATAAGCTCATTGACATAAAAGAACAAGCTCACTCACTAGCAGGCGCACATACACAGCTTAATGTGGTGGTTCTGGTGTCTATAGCATGTCCCTACAGGCTTTTCAACGTATACACTGACTTTGCAGAGAAAAGGCAGTGTTTACCTTGCTTCAAAGTGACACTGCTAGTGACAGTCACTCAGACGGTCACTAGAGGTGCTTCCTGTGTCAGTGCACCTACATTCAGGGCCTCCACACTCTGTAGGTGCTGAACGTTCCCCATAAAGATACATTGATTCAATGCATCTCTATGAGGAGATGCTGATTGGTGTAGCGTTTTGCAGCCAATCCTATGGCAAAGCATTGGATTGGCTGAGATCATCAAGCTTGGCCAGTCGAGGGGAGACCAGCACGGTGTGGGGGGGGAAAAAAGGTGAGTAAAAACACTATTTTTAAACATACACGGACACACACATACACCATGACAGACACACATCCCATGAGAGACAGACACGCACATACACCATGACACAGACACACACACACACCATGATACAGACACACACCATGACACAGACAGGCAGACACACACCATGACACAGACACTGTGACACAGACAGACACACACCATGACACGGGGACACACACACACCATGAAAGACAGATACACACCATGACAGACACACACATACCATGACACACACACAAACACCATGACAGATAGACACACACACCATGGCACAGACACACACACACAAAGACCGTGACACAGACAGACACACACCATGACAGACAGACACACACCATGACAGACTGACACATTATTGCTACTTGTGGATGGCCGGCCAGTGGGTTGTGCAGGGCAGACAGCTGGGTGTGCTGGTGGCCGCGAAGGGAGCTGTGCTGTCTCTGCTCCCCAGCGTGCAGCTTAATGAGACCGGGGCCGGAATATGACATCAGGACAGCTCTCCCTGCAGCCGCCAGCACAGCTTCACCTGCGGCCGCCAGCACACCCAGCTGTCTGCCCGGCCCCAGGTGCCAATGGTCCATTTGGAAATTTCACGGTATCCTGGTGGGCCAGTCCGGCCCTGTTAACATGTATAGCTTGGAGGATAGACGAGACAGGGGGGATATGATAGAAACATTTAAATACACAAAAGGGAATCAACACAGTAAAGGAGGAGACTATATTTTTAAAGAACAAAAACTACTACCAAGAGAACATAGTCTTAAATTAGATCGGCAAAGGTTTAAAAATAATATCAGGAAGTATTACTTTATTGAGAGGGTAGTGGATGCATGGAATAGCCTTCCAGCTGAAGTGGTAGAGGTTAACACAGTAAAGGAGTTTAAGCATGTGTGGGATAGGCATTAGGCTATCCTAACTATAAGATAAAGCCAGGGACTAATGAAAGTATTTAGAAAATTGGGCAGACTAGATGGGCCGAATGGTTCTTATCTGCCGTCACATTCTATGTTTCTATGTTTCACACTATACTTATTTACTTATGGTTGTTCACCCTTGACTGTTATGAACTTTTAACAATGCTAAATTATTTATCTTTTTTCGATGCTTAGAATTGTTTCACAAATAAAAATGTAGTAACTTTACAAGTAATACACTAATAAAAACATACACAGCTCAATTATACTTAATCACAAATGAATAGCTTGTAATTTGAACTGTGGGTCAAACAGGTATTGTGCAGTATTTTTAATCTATGACATCATTCCCCAGCAGAATGTCATTGAGAAGACTCAATGTCCTGTTACTGAAGACTATATTAAGATGATCAATTCCTTTCAGTTCAAACACATGGACTTTCTCTTTCTGCTGTGTGTGCCAACGTTTACACAACTCCATGCTTCTAGTGTGTACAGTGTCATCCCCATCCGAATACTGAATCTCAAGAGGCGGCTCATTGGGGAAACCATCTCCATAAAAGTAGGTCTCAGCAGTTGGATGTCCCGTTCCATAGATACAATACACTTCTACGCCAGGTGGTGGGAGGCCTTCCAGGAGACCTTTTGTGTCTTCCCACATATACCAACCATCTTCGAACTCAATGTCTTGGAAAAACTTCTTGTAGTCTCGATAGGTGTAATTATATGATGGAGTAGAAATGAAGACATGTTCTTCTGGCCATCCTAAGTTGGTAGGTAGCATCCAAGGATTAGTTGTGGTCATACGTTGCTCCTCACGGATCTTGATGTTCGATACCATTGGAATTCCATGGTCATCACCTATGAATACAATAACACGGATTGCTTCCTAATATTTACAGGATATTATACCTTCCTTAATGTAAATCTGCACTACTTAACTGACATTGAAATGATAAAATCATGGAGTGAGCTCCGCTGTGGTTAAAGGAATCACCCACAATGCTATTCATCTCTTATTTTAAGACCTGATTGCAGCTAGTGCAACAATGTCTTGCACTAATGTAGTAAGTGGGCGGAGCTAGTAATACAGATTGTCTGATAGGGAGTGGATGGTTCTATTGCTGTGAGTGGGAGGAGCCAGTAACACAGAATGTCTGATAGGGAGTGGGTGGTTCTATTGCTGTGAGTGGGAGGAGCCAGTAACAGATTGTCTGATAGGGAGTGGGTGGTTCTATTGCTGTGAGTGGGAGGAGCCAGTAACAGAATGTCTGATAGGGAGTGGGTGGTTCTATTGCTGTGAGTGGGAGGAGTCAGTAAGTACAGAGATTGTCTGATAGGGAGTGGGTGGTTCTATTGCTGTGAGTGGGAGGAGCCAGTAACAGAATGTCTGATAGGGAGTGGGTGGTTCTATTGCTGTGAGTGGGAGGAGCTAGTAATACAGAATGTCTGATAGGGAGTGGGTGGTTCTATTGCTGTGAGTGGGAGGAGCTAGTAACAGATGTTATGGCAGGACAGGAGGCTTTATATTTGCTTTATCCTTCTTTAATGAACCTCCCAGCAGCAAAGAAACAGTTAAACAATAGTATAAAAAAATCAACCAATCAGAAAACATCCAGTCAGTATACTGTGGCTGTGAGACTCCTCCCACTTCCTTTTTCTTTGCTACTTGCTTTCCAGGTGAGTCAATTCTGATTATTTTATTGTCTTACTTTTTATGTATATTTATTAATGAAATGTATTACCTTTGGCTTTTCTTCAAGTTTTGTTATTACCCGCAGGATTCCTTTCACCGCACAGCACTTGCTGTCTATTCCCTGTCTGCGTTAGCGCTCTTTCACCCGATGGCGATCTGATCGCGGCTTGTTTTAGTCTTCACAGACGCTCTGTTCTAAAGCCGCATTGCCGCTAGCTTTAATCTCAGTTTTTCCTGTCCTTTTTTTTTTCCCGCCTCTCTGTGACGCGAGTCGGTCTCCGCCTACTAAAGCACCAGTTATTTTTTTGCTCTACAAACCTTTAAAAAAACGACTTCGACCCTCATTTTATGTTTTTATTAAAGGTCAAAATTAGTCTGTCGTCAATTATATCATGAATACATTTTATTTTTCGCTAGGCTCATCAACTATTATATTTAAAGTGGTATTACTGCCCCTTGGAAATTATAATTAATCCAAACAATTATCTGCCGAAATGGTGACCCCCTTTATTAACAGGTGACCCCTGTTTGCTATAGTAGTACTTCCTGCACCACCTAATAGCTGTATACGGCGTCTGTTTGCCATAATACAAAGTGGGTGATCTCCACGTTCCATTGCGTCCTTGGGTAACCCCCATATGCTTCTCTTGGCTGACCCCCAAGCATCATTGTAAAGGGTGACCTCCTTTCAATACTCGGTGTCCCCAAAACATTATTTTACAGGGTGACCCCCTGGCTATATTGGATGACCCCCAATTATTATTAAAGGGTGACCCCCTTCTTATTTCTATTTTTTCAATCATTTAATATAAACATTTATATCAGTCATGTCTGAGCAGCCAGAATCCACTGTCTCAGCCGAGCTTAAATCTTGGCTTTTTTCCGCAATAGCAGAGTCTATGCCAATAGCCATAGCTGCCTTTCATGAAAAGTCTAACCCTGTTCCCAAACCACCTAGCACCCATGCTCTACCAGACTCTGATGATTCCCACAACGAATCCGACCATGAAGGGGCTCAGCATAACCGTCCCTGGAAAGGCAATAGTGCCTCAGCCGGTAAAGGCAAAACACTGGCTAAAGCTCCAAAACTGTCCCATGCCACGAGCCAACAACTGATTGACCCTTTAGAAGGTTCCACATCCCACTATGACCTACAGGTCATGGACGAATACTGCGCGGGGTATTCCGATGATGATTTAGCCAATGATGCACAACACGTTGATACTCCTTATGTTAAGGAATCTTTTGTTAAACATCCTACAGTTTCTAAAAATCCTGCCAAAACCCAGGATCAATGTTCTGATGCCTTACTAGATTCTAGTGGCCAACCTTTTTTTGACCCCAGGATCATTAAGTATCCCCGCTTGGCTAAGTGGGCACCACCAGACCACATAGCCCAGTTTAGCAGGATGTGGCTCCACAAACCACTTGAGAAGGAAATTAGGAATAAATTGAGGGCTGAATGCCCCGTCCAACCATACCTGATAAGGTGGCACAAACGCCCCAATTTGACCCTCTCCTGATCACTTTCCCAAGTAAATCCGGAAAGGATCCCCACAAGGGCCTCGAACAAGATCTGAAAACTGTACAGGACAAGCTGCTTGACATTGCAGGTCCCTTAATACAGATCTTTATACTGGCTGATGAGGCAATCACTAAGGGTTCCTTAGATCCGCATCTAGTGTGTGAATGGGCACAAAGAGCCATATGTTTACTAGGCAATGCCAATGTGGCTATCTCCACTGAATAGTGCAAAGTCGTATAATATAAAAGTGATGCAAATTTGGCAGTTTTGAGTTCCAAAGAACTCGGCCCTGAAGCTAATGGTCTTTTGTTTGGCGACCAGTTTATGAGGGATCTGAACAGACATGTCTCTGTTTGTACCTCGCTCAACAAGGTCCAAAAGTCCCTACTCAGAGTTTTCCCCTCCTATTGTTTTTCTGGGAGGGCCAGTCGCCATAGAGGCCAAGCTACCGGCAGAACCGCCTTCCAAGGTTACAAGCCTCACACCTCTGAGCCTTGAATCTCGGGTTATACCCGCCCCTACAACAGACAACTATTTACAAACAGAGGATCTATCAGAGGACGTGGATCCGCTTCACTCAGGGTTCGCGCTGCTCCAGGTAATCAACGTACTTTATTTCCTAATACCTATCACAGGTCGTCTAACCCATTTATTCCCACAGTGGTCTCTCCTTACTCAGGATCCTTGGATCCTTCAAACAGTGTCCGGGTTTCACATAGATTTTACATCAGACCCACTTGAAGAATTCCCTCCGTACCCCCTGCATATGTCCCTGTCAGACACCGCAATCCTACACTCAGAACTCTGCAAGTTCAGGCAAAAAGGTGCGACTGCCCACCCAGGTTTATCAACAACATTTTTCTGGTTCAGAAGAAATCCAACAAATTCCGCCCCATTATCAATTTAAAAGATTTGAACCTGTGAAGAAAATATACTCAGTTCGGTATTTTCTTTCACCCAGATCGGTTCAGGGGTTCTTAAAAAGTCACAAGTTACCGACCACACACGAGGCTCCTGCCCAAAACAGTTCCACGAATTCAGCGTGTGCGGTCGGTCAATTCAGAAAAAGGCATAAAACGAATAAAAGTCCCGAATGGATCCTCCTGGCTCATAGGAGCGATTGCTCCCCTTGTCTGTATGAACAAAACTACTGAATAGCGCTCTCCTAAGGGTTAGACTTACCAAATCTCTCCTTGTTCGGCAACTAAAGGAAGCAGGCGTTCGGTAGTTTCAGCGTTGGTTCGGGAGGTCGAGTGTCCGATTTTAGTTCCAGACACTTGACGACCAAGTCCCGCTGCCTCCTTTCGTGAAAACAAGATGGCCGCCGTTTTCTGTTCCATGTGGCATTCGGCATGCGGAAAAAGCCCGAACAGCCGGGAGAAAATACAGAACTAAGTATATTTTCTTCACAGAACCAATTTGTGCTATGTCGCCACTTCAAAATGGAGGGCATACACATGCTTCGTGACCTTCTCTGCGAGGGAGATTGGGTCTCCTGCTTCGATACAAGAGACACATATCATACCGTCCCAGTGAAAACCTCACACCGTCACTTTCTACAGTTTCCCGGGCAAGACCTCTGGCAATTCACTTGCCTCCCTTTTGTTCTCTCTTCCGCCCCTTGGTGTTTCACCAAACTGATAAAACCTGTTATGGCTCTTCTCAGATCTCAAGATATTCGATTCATCGTCTATCTAGACGATATTCTACTCATGGCTCAAGATCCAGACACCCTTCAAAGACACACGGAGATTACCAAATCTCTCCTTCAGAATCTCAGATTTGTAATCAATTTCGAGAAATCATCCTTTCTTCCATCTCAGTCTATTCTGTTCCTAGGTTTCCATGTTTTACTCCGTCCTTTCGATCCTTCTGCTTCCAGTGTCAAAGATAAATTCCATCAAAAAGGATATTCAACGATGTAACGGAGCTCCTTGTACTCCGACCGAGTATCTCCGTTGATGGATGCTCCTAGTGCTTCCCGAGGGTTCCAAGCACTTCTCCAGACACCATAAGCACTGCAGATCAAACCTCTCTTCCTGCAGAGAGGGAAGCTGGAACAAGCTCTTAAAAGAGCTTAGTGATTATAGCTAGGGGAGTATACAGAGTATAGCAATCCCCCAGTGTAGATGCAGCAGTATCCCCCAATCATGAGACGAGGCTCTATGTTCAGGGTCAAAACAGGAACAGACAGAGCTATGGCTTTATTGTTCTTATTTACAAATTTTACAAATAAAGTACCACCCACAGGGTTTTGTGGAACAGCCAATCAAACACGTAATATACAGTAAAACACTCCCATTCATTCCAGCAAAATCCTCCCCTCTGCCTGTGATATAATTACTGAACACAATGGGCTAACGTAATTATCACAGGCAGGAAAACACAGTTTTACACAATATTCATAACTTTAAAAGTATACATCACATTAACATAACCAGCATACTCCAAATACAAACATACTCAAAAATCAGACAATTCCCTCCAGTGGTTTAAAAGGTAGGTCAAAGTCCTTTGTGACCAACTACAAGCATGGCTTTCCAGCCCAAACCAGTTCCACAGAGTTAGGCTGTGCGAGTAAATTGTCTTAACTGGGTGTGGTAAGCCAACTATCTCCAGGTACAGAAAATATCTCTATTCACAACAACAGCAAAAATACACAAAAATACATAACTTCTATCATACTGAACAGAACCCCCACATTCAACCTATCCCCAGATGGCTTGGATCTGAGCGCTCAATATATCCAAACAGTGCTCAGGTCCCACAAACACAGTCAAATCGCCATGGGGTTTAAGTTTAGCATGGGCTGATGAGAGGGGGCCATAGTCATGAGGCAGGAGGCTGGCAATCAGGCTTCTCCAGGGAAGCAGGGCAATTTGTCATAAGAGAAAATAGGGACAAAAGGCATTTTGTAACACTGGCTTCTCCAGAACCCAGTGGCGAGGTTAGTTTCGCCACAGACGACTACTGTACTCTCTACGTATTCAACTTTGCTATTTAGCACAAATCATAGGGCTACTCTCAGCCTCCATCCAGGCAACTTTCCCAGGCTCTTTAAACTACAGGGCGACGCAACGTCTAAAAACACATTATGTTCGCAGATCCGAGTCATACAACCAACAGATTTTTCTAACTGAAGAAGTCCGATTAGAATTAAATTGGTGGCTCCAGAACATGGAGGCTTGGAACGGGAAAGCTATCTTCGGACGCCAACCTGATTTTATCCTCGAAACAGACGCCAGCCTTTTAGGTTGGGGGGCAACCTGTTCCGACCTCTCCACAGGTGGACTCTGGATACTGTCAGAACGCACGATGCATATTAACTGCGTCAAACTGCTGGCCGGATCCTTTGCAATCCGCAGTTTCGGATATTAATGATTGTTCTCTGATCCTCAGGATGGACAACGTTTCCACTGTCTATTATGACAATCGTTTAGGGGGTTCACGTTCCAAACTCCTCTCAGACCTCATGGGAGAACTTTATCAGTTCTGTCTGGACAGGAATCTCTCAGGGAGTCAATGCCTTTCTACAACCATGCCCATTAACAGGGGCATATGCTTTCCCACACTTTTCAATGATTCCGCGGACTCTTCATTGTCTCAGAATTATTGGTGTCAAGATTCTCCTAATAACGCCACTCTGGAGAGCCCATCCTTTGTACCCCAACCTGCTGTAAATGTCGGTAGATTACCAGCTACTTCTTCCGGTATCTCACGATCTCCTCAGAGATCCATCAGTGGACTTCCACCTCTAGCCATTCAAGGTCATCTTTGGCCCGTAGCCTGTACTGTTTCAGGGGATCCTGGTATGTTTCAGGACTTACACCTCTGGGATTCTTGAGCTCCCTGAACTCGTAGAGCATACCTTTCTGCATGGCAATTCTGGACTAGCTGGTGTTTGGAAAGGGATATGGATCCCTTTTCATCTCCTTTAGTGAATATTATCAATATTCTTTTGTCTCTTTTTGACAAGGGTAAATCTTATCATACCATTAATTTCTTTCGTTCTGCTACTTCGGCAGCTCATAACCTAATTAGCGATCTTCTGGTTGGGAACTATCCCTCCGTTTGTAGGTTATTATGGGGTTATCGTCTTTCTCGACCCCCGGCTCTTCGACACACCCAATTTTGGGATGTCTCTAGAGTGTTGGCTTTCCGTGAAAACTGGTCTTCCAATTCTGAACTTTCCTTATATCAACTCTCAGCCAAACTAGCACTTTTGCTCTGTTTGGTCTCTTTTCGACGAGTTTTGGACATCATGGCTTTTGATCTCCATGTTATTACCTTACTTGAGGGTGTTCGTTTTCCTATTTCCCGTCGCACGAAGGTCTTGTCCACTTCCGTTTTTTTATCCTTACCTTCCGGATAGACCTGCTCTTTGTGTTGCTCGTTGTTTACAATGGTACGTCGACCTTATCTCTCCTCTCCAAGCTCCATCGGGGCCTCTTTTTGTCTCTTATGTTCATCCACATAACCCGGTTTCCTGTCCCACAATCACTCGCTGGGTCAGATGGTTACTTCATCTTGTGGGCATTGCAGCTTCTTTTTGGGCACATTCGGTTCACAACGCTGTTGCTTCCTCACGCCTTTGCAGCAGAAGGGTCTCTTTCTGACACTCTAGCCTCCGCTGATTGGTCTCGGGAATCCACCTTCCGTACCTTCTATTTCCTTCCTACATCTCACGCGACTTCTCATTTAATATCCAGGCGTTAAAACAGCAAATTTGAAGCTTCCTGTCTTGCCATAAAATTAGGGATTATTCTAGCTTCAGTGACGAATAATTTTAATTTTATTAAAGAAAGGAGGTGAATATTTCCCACCCGGTACTTTTATCACTTTCTTTTTCATTCTCTCCCTCCCCCCTTTTTTCTCCATCCATTTGAGAACCTTTGTTTTTTTGCTCAATGGCCCTGCAGGTAAGTTTTGGGTTTTCCACTTAGAACACCGTATATACCTGCAGACTATGACTATTTCATGATTTAAATTGTTTAAAGGAGCACTATAGGGTCAAGAACACAAACATGTATTCCTGACCTTATAGTGTTAAAACCACTATTTGCCCCCTTTTGCCTCCTTAAAGATAATATAATCTTATTTTTATTCAAGTCTGAAGCTGCTGTCTCTGCCTGTGAACTTCCTCTGACATCATCAGAAGTGGTGGCCTTCACAGTGCTTCCCCATAGGATTGGCTGAGACTGACAAAGAGGCAGATCAGGGCCAGAGCCAGCATGATTCAAACACAGCCCTGGCAAATCAGCATCTTCTCATAGAGATGAATTGAATCAATGTATCTCTATGAGGAAAGTTCGGTGTCTGCATGCAGAGGGAGGAGACCATGAACGTTTGGATGCATTTTAGGCAGCCATGACCCAGGAAGGATCTCTAACAGCCATCTGAGGAGTGGCCAGTGAAGTTATCACTAGGCTGTAATGTAAACACTGCATTTTCTCTGAAAAGACAGTGTTTACAGCAAAAAGCCTGAAGGTAATGATTCTACTCACCAGAACAAATTCAATAAGCTGTAGTTGTTCTGGTGACTAGAGTGTCCCTTTAAGTTATTCTCTAACAATATATTTGTGTTTTGCTTTTTCATATAAAGCTACCAAATTTTTGCTCATTTATTGTGAGTTATTGTATGACTGCCAGTCAATTCTTTGACCCGTCATGTGGACTGGTTCATCTCCATCTGGTTTACACGGTTGACTACAGTTATTTATGGTTTACACGGTTGGCTTCAAGTTATCGGCCGCATCAAGAAAAAGGAAGTGGGAGGAGTCTTACAGCCACAATATACTGACTGGATGTTTTCTGATTGGTTGATTTTTTTATACTATTGTTTAACTGTTTCTTTGCTGCTGGGAGGTTCAGTAAAGAAGGATAAAGCAAATATAAAGCCTCCTGGTGGTGCTGTTGCAGTGAGTGGGAGGAGTTAGCAACATATATTGTCTGATAGTGAGTGGGAGGTCCAATTGCAGTGAGTGGGAGGAGTTAGTAACATATAGTGTCTGATAGGGAGTGGGAGGTCCAATTGCAGTGAGTGGGAGGAGTTAGTAACATATAGTGTCTGCTAGGGAGTGGGAGGTCCAATTGCAGTGAGTGGGAGGAGTTAGTAACATATAGTGTCTGCTAGGGAGTGGGAGGTCCAATTGCAGTCAGTAGGAGGAGTTAGTAACATATAGTGTCTGATAGGGAGTGGGAGGTCCAATTGCAGTGAGTGGGAGGAGTTAGTAACATATAGTGTCTGATAGGGAGTGGGAGGTCCAATTGCAGTGAGTGGGAGGAGTTAGTAACATATAGTGTCGTATAGGGAGTGGGAGGTCCAATTGCAGTGAGTGGGAGGACTTAGTAACATATAGTGTCTGATAGGGAGTGGGAGGTCCAATTGCAGTGAGTGGGAGGAGCTAGTAACATATAGTGTCTGATAGGGAGTGGGAGGTCCAATTGCAGTGAGTGGGAGGAGTTAGTAACATATAGTGTCTGATAGGGAGTGGGAGGTCCAATTGCAGTGAGTGGGAGGAGTTAGTAACATATAGTGTCTGATATGGAGTGGGAGGTCAGTGAGTGGGAGGTCCAGCAGTGAGTGGGAGGAGTTAGTAACATATAGTGTCTGCTAGGGAGTGGGAGGTCCAATTGCAGTGAGTGGGAGGAGTTAGTAACATATAGTATCTGATAGGGAGTGGGAGGTCCAATTGCAGTGAGTGGGAGGAGTTAGTAACATATAGTATCTGATAGGGAGTGGGAGGTCCAATTGCAGTGAGTGGGAGGAGTTAGTAACATATAGTATCTGATAGGGAGTGGGAGGTCCAATTGCAGTGAGTGGGAGGAGTTAGTAACATATAGTGTCTGCTAGGGAGTGGGAGGTCCAATTGCAGTGAGTGGGAGGAGTTAGTAACATATAGTGTCTGCTAGGGAGTGGGAGGTCCAATTGCAGTGAGTGGGAGGAGTTAGTAACATATATTGTCTGATAGGGAGTGGGAGGTCCAATTGCAGTGAGTGGGAGGAGTTAGTAACATATAGTGTCTGATAGGGAGTGGGAGGTCCAATTGCAGTGAGTGGGAGGAGTTAGTAACATATAGTGTCTGATAGGGAGTGGGAGGTCCAATTGCAGTGAGTGGGAGGAGTTAGTAACATATAGTATCTGATAGGGAGTGGGAGGTCCAATTGCAGTGAGTGGGAGGAGTTAGTAACATATAGTGTCTGCTAGGGAGTGGGAGGTCCAATTACAGTGAGTGGGAGGAGTTAGTAACATATAGTGTCTGATAGGGAGTGGGAGGTCCAATTACAGTGAGTGGGAGGAGTTAGTAACATATAGTGTCTGATAGGGAGTAGGTGGCCCTATTACAGTGAGTGTGAGGAGCTAAACATGTGTTAATGCTGCAGGGGATCCAGGAAGAAAATTGCAATAAATATGGAAAGAGTTAAAGTCTCTGACCTGACATGAGAACAAGCAGTGGTTTGACAGCGCCCCCCCATGGAGCCCCTAGGGATATAAATCCTTTGACATATTTCTCTTTCCATTCCTGGGGCTGGTGGATTAGGAAGTAAAGCAGATAGAGATTTCCAAGACTGTGACCAATGATAAAGACAGGCTTGTGATACTCCGCACTCATTTCCTCGATCAGGCCTTTCAGTTTCTCAAAGTATTCCTTCTGTCCATCTGAAAAAGAAACATATTGTGTAAATGTTATATCAGCAATGGTCAATGAAAACCATCCAGAATGTGCTCTGTGTGGTGGGGGAGCCGGGGAGGGGGGCTGGATTAAGCTAATGGAGCTTGGGGTGGGGTATGGGTAGTTAAATATCGGCCATCTTAGAGAGTGGCCATTCTAATTGGAGCCTCACTTACCCGTTAGTTGTCCCACCCACCCTCCCTAGTTTTGAGGCAATTTTCCCGTTTTGTCACAGCGGTGGGAACAGGGCGTAGTTAGGTTTGACGTTTTCGTGGAATTGGAACTGGACAGGCCAAGGTCTAGGCTGGAGTAGGCCGGACGGAAACAAGTGTTGGTAGGTTCTAGCTCTTCGGTGGCTACGAACCTGGGGGTGTAGGGGTGTCTGGGTACCCCCCCTACAGTTATCATTATGATATGGGGGCTCTTTGGAAGGCCGGGTGTTTCAAGTTTATTGTTATTTGGATGTTATTTATTGTTCAAGTGGTAGGGTCATTGTCAGGGGTATTGTGCGGGGGGGATAGTAACATAATGTCAGTTATGACAATGACCCTAAATATGTTAATTTATTCATGCATTTAATAATAATTAATAAAGCTGTGGACTTTATACTCCAACAGTATAATCTGTGTCCGTGTCTTATTTAAGTTTAAGATTTATAGCACATGCCGAATAACGACGGTGCAAATGTCTTGAGCTGACCATCCCATAACAACTGATGTAGCAAGAAATCCAAGAATTCAGATAGTTGGTTCCATGGCAGAGAAGGAGAAGGGTTAAAAATCCTTCATTGTTGCAATAGTCGTCAAGGACACTTTTTAAGTCACAAAATATATCTTGCTACAGTCTTCTTAAAAGATAATTTTGTTTCTAGCTAAAGCCAGTTCTGACCAGTTTAAAGTTATGTAAGCTTTGTCGCTAATAGAAGAACATGCAAACACACGTAAAAATATTGTACAAAACATCTCAACCTAATTACCTAATCATGGACACCCCTTATTGCTTAATCACGTATACACCCCTTATTGCTTAATTACGTACAGCCCTTATTGCTTAATTACGTACACCCCTTATTGCTTAATCACTTACACCCCTTATTTCTTAATTACGTACACCCCTTATTGCTTAATTGTGCACACCCCTTATTGCTTAATTACGTACACCCCTTATTGCTTAATTACGTACAGCCCTTATTGCTTAATTGTGTACAGCCCTTATTGCTTAATCACTTACACCCCTTATTTCTTAATTACATACACCCCTTATTACTTATTCACGTACACCCCTTATTGCTTAATCACGTATACCCCTTATTGCTTAATCACATACACCCCTTATTTCTTAATTACGTACAACCCTTATTTCTTAATTGTGTACACCCCTTATTGCTTAATCACGTACAGCCCTTATTGCTTAATTACATACAGCCCTTATTACTTAATTACGTACAGCCCTTATTACTTAATTACGTACAGCCTTTATTGCTTAATTACGTACAGCCCTTATTTCTTAATCACGTACAGCCCTTATTGCTTAATTACTTACACCCCTTATTGCTTAATCACGTACAGCCCTTATTGCTTAATCACGTACACCCCTTATTGCTTAATCAAATACACCTCTTATTTCTTAATTACGTACACCCCTTATTACTTAGTCATGTACACCCCTTATTGCTTAATCAAGTACACCCCTTATTGCTTAATTACGCACACCCCTTATTGCTTAATCATTGACACCCCTGATTGCCTAATCATTGACACCCCTTATTGCTTAATCATGTACACCCCTTATTGCTTAATCACGTACACCCCTTATTGCTTATTTACGTACACCCCTTATTGCTTAATCAGGTACACCCCTGATTGCCTAATCATTGACACCCCTTATTGCCTAATCACGCGCACCTCTTTTAATCTGGAACTTTGTATTTGTAATCATAAATAAAGCCATGCATTGTTCTAATAAACTGGTGCGCTTTGAACTTCCATCTTGTCTAGTGTCCAAATACATTGAGTACCCTGAGGCTTCGGGCAGAGAACTTGAGCAGGACAGAACTAAATAAGTCAATGGCATAGGAGGACTGTACCCTCCAACTATAGTTATCACTAGGAAATGTTCCATCAGAATTGGACCTGCTGGGTACCGGATACTGGTGCAATAAGGGGGTTGGAATGGTATTTGCAGAGAACGCCAGGCCTTTCTGGAAGAGGCATCAGCCAACTAGTACACAGAACCAGCTTGATAAATTGCAAGTCCTTTAGCCTTGGCTAATCCAGCAATGAGGACAGAACAGGCACTGTGGCTGTGAGAGGATATCATGATCTTAGTGTAATCACTTGAAATGTAGGTAGAAAATAATACACACGTCCATGCCCTGTGCTTTGGAAAACGCTAATCACATAGTCAAAGATGTCGGATTTGTCAATGTAGACACACAAAGAATGTTTGATACTTACTGGGAGCAATTCGCCAATCATACGGAGCGCCACGCACAGTTTTATCTCTTACATAGCCATTATTTACCAAATTCTGCACAAGGGTATGGAAGTAGCCTGAGTATGAAACAAAATGATTACCAGAGGAATCCAGTGATCCAAATGTACTACATGCACAGGACTGGCTAAAAACTCATTATTAACAGAGAGCACTCTTTTCATCATATGATTCCTATGAGTAATATTCACTAAACAGAGGTTTGCATTGATGGACAAATCATTGCACAATTTAGGCAAAAAGAGCTGATTCAAAAACATTCACAACAACAGTCACTGCTTTGCGATTTTTATTCTAGATGTTGAAATTTGATTTTCCATTCACTCCCATCTAAGTTTTTGTAGTAACTTGAAAGCTTTGTTAAAATGGGGGTTGAGTTTTCCATATTGTTTCACTTTAATGAACTGTCTATATAATGGGTTACTCCCAGTATACTTACCAGCTAACTTGCCCTTGTCTAGGTATTCCACAGAATGCGTCTGCCCAAAGCCCGGAACATGAATGTCTACTCCTGGAGCATTTGAAGCTATCCTTGTGGTTTTGTTGTAAACAACTCTGCACAGTAGACAAAAACACATCATGGGACCATAAATGATCTGCTAGTAGGTAATCCATCCCACAGTCTACTCGTGTATATTTGACGTATACAAGCTGTCCTGTAGTCTACCCATGGGTATATAAGTTAGCAGCATCACACTCTCATCGTGTATTGGTGGCCCCCCACATTCTCCTCGTTTATCAGCTGCTGCCCACCTCTCCTCATCTATCTACCACCTCCACGCTCTCCTCATGTATCGGCTGTCCCCCACACTCTCATGTATCAGTGTCTGTGTGTAGTGAATGCAGAGTTTGTGTGTAGTAGATGCAGAGTGTGTGTAGTGGATGGAGAATGTGTGTAGTGAATGCAGAGTTTGTGTAGTGGATGTAGAGTTTGTGTGTAGTAGATGCAGAGTGTGTGTAGTGGATGTAGAGTATGTGTGTAGTGGATTTAGAGTGTGTGCAGTTGATGCAGAGTGTGTAGTGGCTGCAGAGTGTATGTAGTGGATGCAGAATGTGTTTGTGTGTAGTGGATACAGAGTGTGTTGTAGATAGATGAGGAGAGGTGGTAGATAGATGAGGAGAGGGGGGAGCAGCTGATAAGAGTAGAATGTGTGTAGTGGATATAGAGTGTGAATACTGTGTAGTGGATGCAGAGTATGTGTGTAGTGGATAAATAGTGTGTGTAGTGAATGCAGAGTGTGTTTGTAGTGGATGCAAAGTATGTGTATAGTGGATGCAGAGTGTATGTAGTGAATGCAGAGTTTGTGTAGTGGATGCAAAGTATGTGTGTAGTGGATCCAGAGTGTATGTAGTGGATTTAGAGTGTGTGTAGTGGCTGCACAGTGTATGTAGTGGATGCAGAATGCGTTTGTGTGTAGTGAATACAGAGTGTGTGTAGTGAATGCAGAGTGTGTGTAGTGGATACAGAGTGTGTATAGTGGATACAGAGTGTGTGTAGAGAATGCAGTGCGTGTGTAGTGGATGCAAAGTATGTGTGTAGTGGATACAGAGTGTGTTGTGGATGTAGAATGTGTGTAGTGGATGGTGTGGAGTGTGTGTGATGTAGAATGTGAAAAGAAGTTGCAAGAGAGTACTGAGAACAGACAACAGCTCAATTAGCCTGCCCTTCGGTGGGTCCCCACTCAGATCTTAAGCTGGTTTTAGCTCATCTTGTGCCATTACAAAAAAAAAACAGGCCATTTGCATATCAGACTGATCCCAACCAAAAGGCCAGGACAGATCCAAAAATGCAGGCCTGTTCTCTCTCATATGATCGTTTCAACCTTGTTAGGCATCTTCAGTGAGGTAACATCTCTCTGGGCACCATGAGCAAGGGCAAGCTATTGAGTCTCTCTAAACTTTTGTTCGTTCTCGGAGTACATCTCATACTCTTTCTTTTTGCTTGGATGTAGAATGTGTTGGTGTTTCTCAGAAATACTGTATACTATAAAATACCTGATGTTATCTACCCAGCAGTCTATTCCTAGAGGCAGGAACATATTCAGATTGAGCCATAGTGTGAAGTAATCATCGGTTTTTCGGTAGCACATCCAGTTTACAACATCTTCTTTGTCTACTTTTGCTTCCAATTGGTTTCCAAAGCAGCCGGGTACTGGGGGACATAGAGATCATAAATGACTGATAAGATAGTCTTAAAAGATAAATAAAATCTCCAAGATGCAATAATTAAGTGAAAACAGGTGCACTTGGAGGCTACATACAGATTCATAAGGATTTATCTATACAGATTTACCGCCCCATGTGTAGCGGCGGAAGTGCCACCAGTGCACTTGCACCGGGGCCCGCACGCTGATAGGGCCCATCGGGTGGCCCAAGCATTTAGGGCCACCTGATGGGTCCTATATCTTTAGGGGCCCGGTCAGCACTGCGGCTGTGTAAAGGCACGACCGGGCCCCTTTAAAAATATTAGCCGCAAGTACTGCTGGGAGGAAGTGACGGCCGGTCACTTCCTCCCAGCTTACTGCGCGCGGGAGGGAGAAGAGACAGGTTGTGAAGAGGGAGAGGCAGCTGACTCCCATCAGCCACAGCCACCCTCCTGCAAGGAAAAGGTAAGAAACAGGAAGGTGGCTGAAAAATTAGCTGTGTGTGTTTCTGTATGCATGTGTCAGTATGTATAGGTATATATGTTCATGGCCACGCCCCCTCAGACTGAATACATTATTCTGTGCATGGCCCTGCCCCCTCAGACTGAACACAATGATCTGCGCATGGCCCCGCCCCCTCAGACTGAACACAATGATCTGCGCATGGCCCTGCCCCCTCAGACTGAACACAATGATCTGCGCATGGCCCCGCCCCCTCAGACTGAACACAATGATCTGCGCATGGCCCTGCCCCCTCAGACTAAACACAGTGAGCCGGGATATGATGTCACTCGGGCCCCGGCATCACTAAGAGGCGCACAAAAGAGCTGAGCAGTAGAGATGTGCATCGGCAAAAAATTTGGTTTGGTTCGGTTTGGAAATTCAGGTAAGTAAAAAAATTTGGCACTTCGGTTCGGTTAGGCACTTCCGAAATTCGGGACTTAGGACATTCGTAAGCATTCCTCTCTCATCCCTCCCTCGCCACCACAACCATTTACACATCTGTTGGGCTCTCTGCCCATAACTCCTAACCCTAAACACCCAACTACTTACACATCTAGGATTAGGGGTAGATTTAGGGGTATGGTTTGGGTTAGGGGTAAGGTTAGGTGCCTGGACTGCCACCACAACCACTTACACATCTATAGGGCTCCCAGTGCCAGAAATCTAGATTCCTGTCATCATTCACGTAATTTCCTCTCCCTCTCTTGTTTTGCTACTTTTCAGAAATCCAAAGCACTTCTGCACTTCCGAAATTTGGCACTTCGGTTCGGTTCAGCACTACTGAAATTCAGCACGTCAGCAATTCGGTAATTCGGCTTGGCACTTCTGAAATTCGACACTTCAGTAATTCGACTATTCAGACATTCGGAAGCATCTGGTTTGGATTGCACTTGTCTACTGAGCAGGAAGATCAGAGCTCCCTCAACGCCTGCAAGACCACCGGTGCCTGCCCGCCTGCCTATGCCTGCATGCATTGCCAACCCCACTGGACCCCAGGGAAGAATCCACTCCAGTACTCCCAAAAGGTAGGGAGGCTGGGTGGATTTAAATGTAAAAATGTTTTTTTTTTAAATTGCGAGTGTATCAGTGTATGTGTCTGTTAGTGAGTGTGTTAGTGTATGTCTGTTAGTGAGTGTGTTAGTGTACGTCTGTTAGTGAGAGTGTGTGTGTCTGTTAGTGAATGTTAGTGTGTGTCTGTTAGTGAGAGTGTGTGTATGCGTGTCTGTTAGTGAGTGTGTGTCTGTCAGTGAGTGTTAGTGTGTGTCTGTTAGTGAGAATATGTCTGTTAGTGAGAGTGTGTGTGTCTGTCACTGAGAGTGTATGTGTGTTTGTCAGTGTGTGTGTATATGTCAGTGTGTGTATGCTTGTTTCAGTGTGTGTATGCGTGTCTGTCACAGAGTGTGTTTGTCAGTGAATGTGTATGTCTCTCAGCTAGTGTATGTGTTTCTGTCAGTGAATGTGTGTGTCTGACACTGAGTGTATATATGTCTGTCAGTGATTGTGTATTTGTTAGTCAGTGTGTATCTGTCAGTGAGTATATGAGTGTCTCAGTGTGTGTGTCTGACACAGAGTGAGTTTTCATCTGTCAGTGAGTGTTTATGCATTTCTGTCAGTGAGTGTGTCTCTGTCAGTGAGTGTATGTGTGTCTCTCGGGAATGTGTGTGTCTGTCGGTGAATGTGAGTGTAACTGAATGAGTGAGTTTGTATGTCTGTGAATGTGTATGTGTTACAGGGACTCGTTATATTGTTATACTCTGCCTCTTTTCGTTAAAAATCTATTTTACCGGCATTCTGTCCATACGAACGGATTACACGAACAACCAGGATTATATATTCGTGCATACGAACAAAGACCACCCAGCCCTTGGCGTGTGCCGCCACTTAACCTTTTTCACCTTTGAAACAACCGAACGGACGACCACTGGGAAGCTGCGGTCTGCGGTTAACCACAAACTTAATTGACTGCCTCAAGGTGGCCTCGTTAGTATAATAATTCACTGTACCCAACCTCCCGAACGAGGACCACCTACACTTCGGCGTGTGTCTTCAATCAGAACGTTGAGGCTGCGGCTAATTACCCCCTTCAGGGCGGTCTACGTTCGGTTCACTAAGGGCTGGGACAACCATCCACGGAGCGGTATTCGTGCAACTGTTTAACCGGTTCTCGCTCCATGGGTTTTAGAGCCAGGTCCCACTCGCCTATTAACCGACAGAAAACATGGCCGCCATCTCGTGTTCAGGACAAAGAAACACGAAAGGACTTTGTATACAAAAGACTGGCTACACTGTTCGTGAGGTCTGAGCGCTATTCGCCTATCTGGTGCGCTCAGACCGGAGCTATCTAATGAATGGTAGAATGTAAAATGTGTCTACTAAAATGTTACAAATATATAATTTTATGCTGTTTTACCTGTTCGAACAACACGTGGGATTTTGGGCACTTGGAGATAATTGAATTGCCATAACCGTTGGAATCATTATCTCCAAGCTGGGCGGTGACCCTTTCAAACGATACACTGTACTGTCATTGGTCAATTGTTTGTATTGTCACTGTATCCCATCAGGTCCAGAGGGGGCTGTCCCTGGACCTGGGGTTTTGCATAAATAGCGATGCCCGTGTGCCATTAAAACCAGTTCGTTTTACCCTCAACTCGCAGCCTCGACTCGTGTTGTAGGGATCCGGGAATCCTAGCTTACTATAGCTAGTGGGATATTCTACATTTACAGGTTTCTACTGATTGGAACCTCGTTCGACTCTCTGACTTCGGGAACCAGGACATCCAAGCGATCCAACCTCCTGCTAGACCGGAGGCAATCGTAACAGTATGTTTCAGTGAAAGTGTGTGTTGGTTAAACAGTGTGTGTGACAATGACTGTATCTAAAAGAGAAAAGAGGGTTGCACTCAATCATAAAAATCACAGGGTGTTGACACACAAACACACACACACACACTCACAGTTACATACTGCTACCCAGACTATACACACACACACATACTGCTACCTAGACTGTACACACACACAGTTACACATACTGCTACCCAGACAGTACACACACATGCACACACAGTTACACATACTGCTACTTAGACTGTACACATACACACTGCTACCCGGACTGTATACACATGCACAGTTACACATACTGCTACCCAGACTGTACACACACAGATACACATACTGCTACCCAGACTGTATGTACACACACAGTGACACATACTGCTACCCAGACTCTACACACACACACACACACACACACAGTGACACATACTGCAACCCATACTTTACACACACGCACAGTTACACATACTGCTACCCAGACTGTACACACACACACACACACAGTGACACATACTGCTACCCAGACTGTACGCACACACACATATACACAGTGAAACATACTTCTACCTAGACTGTGTACACACACACAGTGACACAAACTGCTACCCAGACTGTACATACACACACACACACACACAGTGATACATACTGCTACCCAGACTGTACACACACACACACACACACACACACCTAGTGACACATACTGCTACCTAGACTGTAATGCGACACACACACACACACACACACACACACACACAGTGACACATACCGCTACTCAGACTGTACGTACACACACACACACACACATACACACACACACACTCACAGTTACATACTGGAACACAGACTATACACACAGTTACATGCTGCTACACAGACTATACACACATACATACTGCTACCTAGACTGTACACACACACACACACACACACACAGTTACACATACTGCTACCCAGACAGTACACACACATACACACACAGTTACACATATTGCTACTTAATAAGGATGATCTCCACCTGGGGAGATCTAAAGCTGCTGACAATGATAAATGGACAAAATTGGAATAACCATACATAGGTTAAAATGGCTAGTGTGGGGATCTAATTGAGGGGAAAAGCAGAAGAGGAGAAAAGAAAAAGGAACATTTAAATTATAAGTTCCAAAAATACCCTTTAGTGTCCTATTTATGGGCTAGATCGAAAAAAATAGTAATGATAAACGGAGAACCTTTATTAAGTCTTTAAATTAAAATAGCCAGAAATAGCCCCCCCAAAAACAAAGGGGAAGGACACTGTACCGGATCCCCTCAATAGAAAACTGGTATTGGTTGAGGTAGTGCTATAGTCTTAATGTTATAGTCCAAATATCTTGTATAAATAGTAGGACTGAAAGAAATTGAAGACAAAGCAATAGGGCTGATACCTTCTGATAGAGTTGTGGATGAGCAATAATACCTATAATGGGTAGAGGTAGGGATAAAGAAATTGTGAAGCAAACAGAGAGAAATCTCAAGCTATCTGGTACACTCTATATAGAAGCCTCAAAGTAAATCCCTAAGTTCTTGTAAAACACCTTCATGGGTGTTCTAATCTGACGCTCACTCTATAAGGTATCGCCCACTACCTACTGCTACCAAACCCCAACTAGCTAGAAGAAAACAAGAGAAAAATAAAATTGGTCTTGATAATCATATCTATCAGTGCAAGATCCTTAGTGAAAAAAAAGAAAAACTAAGTGAGTGAAGTGAGAGCATGCCGCTCGCCCAGTGGCAGATGTAAGGCCTGTGAGTTCATTAGAAAAGACTCTAAGACCTTTACCAACAGTTCTAACAGTCTGCATCTTGACACCCCAGCCTTCTTTAACTGTAGTTCTAAAGGACTAGTCTACTTGATCACCTGCCAATGCGGGATGCTCTATGTGGGAAAAACATTCCGCCCCTTTAGACGAAGAATTTT